AAAAAAAATTGTTACACAATTATTGTTTTGAAAAAGAATATCAAAGAATTGCAATTACAATAATAAAATAAGTTTTTTCGTTGAAATTTCTCAATAATTATGCTGTAAGTTGACGCAAATTGACGTGTACTGACGCAATCCGACATAACTTAACAGGATTTGACCTGAAATGACGCGATTTCATGCGAGTTGACGCAAGTGGACAGCTCATGGTATGATCGCGACGTGCTTCTACCCCGCTGTATCGCGGTGTGTTTTCCGACGACTAGTAGCCTACGAACGTAATAAAACGGTAATTTTCTTAAAATTGCAGAAGATATTTTTGTCGAACTTTTTATATTTGATTCAATACATATTACTTAACTATTGTAGGCCTAAATTTTTTATTATGAAAAGATCGGAACGGAATTCGTTTTCTAGACGTCTTTTGAGCTTCACCCCATGGCCTATATCCACTCAACCTAACCATACTGCTAAATGTATTGCTTTCTAGAAATTTTTTTCAACTGTTAGAAAGTATGTGCATACTCCAAGCACTCTGATCGTTCAGTTTCATTGATTCAGTATTTTGACACTACTAAGTCATCTTCAAAATTATTTATTTAATTTTTTACTCAGTGTCTTGTTTTAATTTTAGCAAGTACCTGGCCTAAGGTTAATAAGCCTCTGAAGGTGGTACAGACTAAAGAGAACAAACTAAGTAATAGATTTTACCCATACGATGAGATCGAGACAGAATGTGTACTGGCCTTGGATGATGACATCCTGATGTTGAATCCAGACGAACTGGAGTTTGGTTATGAGGTAAGACAAATCTCTACTTATTAACTCACTGGCAGACCCAGGGAGTGGGGTGAGGAGTATGTAGGAGTTGATGTTTGTAAAAACAACTTGGGTATACTTTAGGCCTACATCAATAAACTAATTCCAAATATTTGATAATAATTTTTTTGGTACATTTGCATTTGTTTTGGTTTTTCTTCTCTGTTGTTAAGCGCCTTGAGGTTGTGTCAATGTTAGGCGTTATAAATCCAGAATTAATATTACCAGCCTAGACACAGGGTTCCCGGAACGCCGCCCTCAGCGGCGTGTGCGAAGCACAACTTAGAGTCAGAAGTGGAACGTGAATTTCGATATGCTTCGTAGTCAGATTTTTGAGAAAAACTTCAGCTACATGTATTTCTCGACTGAGACGTCAATGGGAGCTGTAATTTGTATGGCAAGAAGATGATGCTACCATTAATTCGTATTAAAGGAATTTACGCCCACAAACCTTGTAGTTATTAATATTTTGGTTATAATACAGTAGAAAATTTTTATTTTTTGGTGATGTCACACTCGCGCTATAGTTAGTATGCATACGTCATAAGCTAGATTACTTCACCTTTTCCTGGTAAGGCTTTTTTCATGGATAAACACTATTGTAAATTTTACATTTTGTTACACCATGTAATTCAGCTTATATGCTGCGAATTGGTTAGTTAAAATAAAAGATAAAGATAAAAGATAAACAAACACCGTACCACTGCTTTGCACATAAATGCCTTGCCAAGCTAGGGCTACAAGAGCCGCATAGTTAGCATATAATACTTAAACAACTTGGTACGTCTGCAACTGAATTATTCTTAGGCCCTAGTTAATTTTGTTTTCTTATTTTAATTTATTTCTTTTGAAAGTGTACTTTCTATCGCATATAATTGCACTAGGCCTAGGCCTAGTCATATTATGCTTCATCGTCCCCCGCTATACACAGTACATCAATAGGCTAGCGCCCCCCCCCCCCACACGCTACAGTACAGACATTTGCTAAGCAACAGAACGTGATTGCACATTTCTTCACAGTTGTTCATGTAAATTTGCATATTGTTAGCTAAATTAACCAGCTGCATGTATTCCTTTGTGAAAATGAGTATCGCAGCGTACCGGTAATCATTTTCACAAAGCATTTGCATCCCCTCTTGGAAAGAGGGAACTTCAAAATAATTGTCTCCATATCTTCGCTAATTAATCACCGTAATTTAGCTTAATCTTATGCATGGAGGGAGCACTTAAAATGTACAATGATCATTTCACTACCCGACAAACCCTGAACTTTATTCATGCATACATAAATATTTTCATCTTGCTGTACTCCAAAATCATTGCAGAGGTCCCAAGTCTACCGCTACTTGCGGTATTATACCGCTTTTAGCACGATCTACCGCGCTACCATTAGCTTATGTTTTTCTACCGCATGAAAAAAATTCTCTCGTAATTAAAAAAAAATTTGAGTAGGATATTTAATTTTGAATATCAGCTTAGCCTAGGCCTAGATAAAAACATAACTTGTTAAAAAACAATCGTAAACACTCACAAATAAGTTTATTCCACTCCCTACCATCACTGTTTATAATGCATTTGTAATTAATTACGGTAGCTGCTGAAAACACGGAATCACAATACACTTTGTTTATTAAAAAAGTTAATGCGCCTCTGGAAAAGTATACTGTTTGAAAGCATGGAGGTCCATGTTGTTGGTTATGCTGTAATATCTGTGAACGGTGGAATGGCCGATGTTGAAAGATATTTAAAGGTATGTTCACTTCTTTTTAAACAGTTTTATGTGATTGTGATAAAAAATCATACGTTCCATATTCAGTTTTGTGACTTGGAAATGGATGGTTTAGAGGCCTGCACTCGTCGTTACCCTACCTGGCCTAAGCCTAGCCGCCTCCTCGAGCTAGGGCATAGACTAGGTCTAGGCCAACCGTCCTTAAAATACCTTAGGTCTAGACCTCAGTTAAGGTTTTTGAAGTCAAGCTATGTACACCTAGACAAGACTATCGATATTTTAACAAGAATAAAGAAAAAATTAGGTTACATACATTTTGAGATGATATTTTCGTTATTTTTTTATGTTTACAGACTTGTTTGCCATGATTGAACTGCATCCAAATTCCGCTCTTCTCTTAGCAGCAAAGAGACTACTACTACTGTTGAATACAATATTAAACTAACAGATGCCAAAAAAGAACTGTAAATTAATGTAATTAATGATATTGATGTAGTAGGCCTAAGTGTAAATAAATGAATATTGTACAATATTAGACTAGGCCTACTGTACAGATTAGTAAATTCTAGAATTTATGTAATTTCATGGTATTAATTTACATTGTGTAAATAAAAATAAAAGGAAGAGCAAGTTAACAGTGTGTTTGATCATTGAATGTTAAGTATTTGATATTATGAGTAGTTGAGTATTGGCTGCAACGTGACGCGCGTTGTATTTGCAGGCGGCCAAAGGTTCCCGACAAAATCTCCTACGAATGGAGTTCTTTAACTTGGGACCCCTGTCATTGGCGCATGGTAACAACCAACTGGCAGACCATTTCTGGTCACACATTACTCTCCATAACGCAGCACCCCTAGTTCCATGTCCTCTGGGTTGTAGTCCCAATTGAGTTATACCTGATTCCCACATAGGCTGGGCTTAGATCTCTGTCTTGCATCATATACCAAGAATGTCGCAACCCTCAAAATTAACGCCGGCATTCGGCAATGCTGACGAAAAAATCGCTGATGTGAAGATTTTAGGCCTAGCCCAAGTTAACCCAGGCCTACGCTGGTACTAGCAGTACCAGTGGTGGTAGACTCGGCAGGATCACTGTGAACACAATAATTAACTTTATTCTTAATTTAATGACTTTTTGTTGTATTATGAGTAAAATGTGAATAAAATCGAACTGGATTGTGTGTTTCATGCTTTTATATTGTTTTTACATGCATTTTCGGTCTGACATTTTTTTTCCAAGCACACCTCATTCTTCGTGTAAGCATTAAGTCGTGCCTCCTAAACTCTGCCCGCTAATTGGTTAATTTGTTTTGTGGGGTCATGGATGGGCAAACATGTGCTTGGCTGTGATGACGTCAGATTGTCCGAAGTTTCATGGTGCATCGCGGCTTGCAGATAGGAACAAGCTCAGTGTAAATTGATTAATTTTTAATTAAACAGATTTATTAAAACAAATAAGAAACACTCATGGTTTTGTTTTACTGTAAAATCTAAATAAATCTTAAAAATGTAAATTTAATTCTCTACAAATTTGCTCCGTAATTAGCTATTGTACATGCTTTTGAGGAATAAGCTATGCATTTGTAATTTGCACTGATGAATCTAGCACGACATACAACAAATCCGAATTAAGATTTACTTAAAAAATACTGAAGAAAAAGAGAAAGCCATCGTAGAAACTTGCTTTGAGTTCCGTCTTCATTTTAGGTTGATTGCAATCGATTTTTAAAGGATTAGGCCAGAAGGCGATAATGCACTTAATAAACAATGGAAGGGGTAACATTCACTTTATCTAAACATTAACGTTTAGGCCTACTGGTGTGTCGTTTTAATCAATAGATAATCTCTATGGCAACGATATTGGGACTGAGCTAGCAGTACGACGGTTCATTCACAGGGTGCTGTGTGCTAGGCCTGTTAATTAACAGGCAGCAATGATTATTGCATTATTTTTGTCTAGAAATTCTGCTTTCTAGGCATTAGGAATTCGGAGATTCCACTGTATGTCTTTTTTTGTAGTTTCATTTTAATCATCATCATAACATTAACACTGTTTAACATTTTATCAATAATTAGTCGTGAATTTGAACATCAGTACATAGGCTAGGCTTTCCAGCTTAATTGGGTGACTTGAAAAGCCATCCATCACTGCTATAACAGGTCAGCATGGGTTGATTTCATGGCCATAGCTTAAACTAAAAACTGCCGATGTTATAACCGATGTCAATTTTATACCGCCAGCGATTTTACTTTTTTTTTTGCCGACATACTTTTTTCCTAATTTTGAGGGCTGAATGTTGTATCAATTAAATGAATTCATAATGCTGTTTTATTAAAAAAAAACCTAGCTGATACAGTCTGTTAATAGACATGAATGCTGCAAAAATACTGTTCTTGTTTATTAATTGAATGCACAATGTTTGTTAGTCCTTAAATTGTGGTGTTTGGATGATCTGTTTTACAGATTTGTAATTCAGTGTTTCTTATCATGATGCTGTGAACAAAAAACCCTAGCTGATACAGTATGTTAATAGACATAAATGCTGCAAAAATACTGTTCTTGTTTATTAATTGAACACACAATAGCTGTTAGTCCTTAAAAGTGTAGTGTTTGAATGGTGTTTTACAGATTTGTAATTTCGGTATTTCTTACGTTCGTGCAGGTGTGGCGTGAGTTCCCTGATCGATTGGTTGGTTATCCAGGTCGTCTCCATTTATGGGATGAGGGAACCGGCAAATGGAAATATAATTCGGAATGGACTAGCTCCATGTCCATGATTCTCTCTGGTGCTGCTTTCTATCATAAGGTGTGTATCAGAACTTCATTATATTTATCAATAAATAAGTACAGTAGTAAGATTTGAATACTGTAAATATTAAATGAATAAATAAAATAAACAATAGAGACGTGAGGAAAATTATAGTATTATATAATAAATTAAATACATGGTATTTTTAAGGTATTAGAACAAAATAGGAATATCATTACATTCAGTAAATACACTGATAAATATTTCATATTTATTAATAATAAATGATGAATATAATAAAATATGACCAAAATTTTAATATCATCTTGACCTAACTTCAATGGTCAAAACAATGAATAATACAGTCATGTAATTGACAAGTTCTTATAGTAGTTTATAGTTTCTTACAGTAATTTATAGTTTATGTATTATATACAAGTAAATAATTCAAGATCTTCAGGAGGAGAGTGCTCAATACCATAGTAGAACTAGATGATTAACAGAGATGTAAACTTCATACTTTTATTCCACTACAAATTTGTTTTTGTAATAACAAAAATTGTATAACTGTAGTTGATTATTTTGTATTTTAGTTCTTCAACTTCCTGTACACCCATCGAATGCCCTCTGTCATTAAATCTTGGGTTGATGAAAATTTCAACTGTGAAGACATTGCAATGAACTTCCTTATCAGTAATATAACGGGCAAACCACCGATGAAGGTCACCCCTAAGAAGAAATTCAAATGCCCAGAATGCATCAACAACGAAAACCTATCAGCTGATCCAAAGCACATGGAAGCGAGGTCCGAATGCATTTCAGATTTTTCCAAGATTTACGGAATTATGCCATTGAAAAGTGTTGAATATCGAGCTGATCCTGTCCTGCACTTAGACACCTTGCCACAGGAGTTGAAACGATTTAAGGACGTTGGCGATATTTAATGTAATTTAATGCATTATTTTGTACAGATTTTTGTAATATAGTACTATTTATATGAAATATTGATCCTCAATTCAGTAGCATTTTTTATATATTGTAATAGAACTTAATTGTAATACTGTTATTGGAGATCATCTTTGGTATTTGTTGGATAAAATAATGCTGCAGCAGTGGTGTTGTAGCCTGGTGGTTAAGAAGCTTGCTTTCCAATAATTAAGTCATATGAATAAAACAACTCAGTTTATGAATTATTACATGATGTTAAAGTCTGAATATATAACACATTGTGGTCACAGATTGTTTTAAAATAGTGGTGGGCATAAAATGGGTCAGAGGCCAAAGTGAATTTTAGATTTAACACCAAATAAATACAGTATAAAAAAGAGGGCTGTGTTGTAGTAGCAGGCACCACTTCTTTTTACATGTATCCTATTGTACATGTATCCTGCAATACCATAGCATACATTCCTGCAAGCTTTACAATAATGAATGTACTTATTATTCCTCTTCAAATACATAGTAGGTTCAGACCGGAGTCACTTTTTGAACATAATACCCGATTCACACGTAAAGTTAAATTTAACAAAAAGTAACAAATTGTAACCGAGCCATCTCCCGAGTTATTCCTACCGAGATATAAAGCATTCACACGCATTTGTAAGGTAATGCCAAGGTCGTGTAAAATTTATTCCGTGTTTATTCAATGAATCATTTTTTCCCCCTACTGCAATATAGGCGTAGCCTAGTTGAGAACCCCTGTCACAGATGGACGGTTGAACTCATCATTACATTCTTGTGACCCAGCTGAATTAAAATATAC